ACAAAATAAAATTTAAGAAAAAAAATTTTTTTTTTAAATTACAGTGAGATATCACTTCATACCTACAAGTGTTGGTGAGAATGTGGAGAAACTGGAACCCTCATGCACTACTGGTGGGAATGTAAAATGACACAGCTACTTTGGAAAAAAAGTTTGTCAATTCCTTAAACAAAGATACAGTTACCATATGATGCAGCAATTACACTCCTGGATATATTTCCAAGAGAAATAAAATACATTTCCACACAGAAATGTGTATGCAAATGTTTATAGGACCATTATTCATAAAATCCAAAGGGTGGAAACAACCCAAATGTCCCTGAGTTGATGAATGGATAAACAAAATGTGGCATATAGAGGTAAGGACATTATTGAGCCATAAAAAGGAATGAGGTTCTAATACATGCTATAATATAGATGAACCTCGAAAACATTACTCTAACTGAAAGAAGCCAATTACAAAATAGCACATATTGTGTGATTCCATTCATATATAATGTCCAGAATAAGGAAATCTATAGAGACTAACTTAACTACTGTAGGTTAGTAGTTGCCTGGGGCTGGAGTGATGGGGGATAGATGGGAGGTAAAGAAGTGAGAGCAAAAGCGTACAGGATTTCTTTCAGGAGGAATGAAACATTTCTAAAATTGATGTAGTCATACCTGCACATATCCATAAACATACTAAAAACTACTGAATTCTGTACTTTAAATGGCTGAATTAAATGGGCACGTGAACTATATCGCAAGAAAAACTGTTAAAAATTTTTAGTTTATGAGGCATAATTTCTGAAAATTTAAGAAGTGCTTAAATTTTAAGCTTTCAAAGACATTGATAGGAAAAGTAGTAAATACCCCAAAAAGAAACGGGAAAAGATAAAAATAGCCAATTCACAAGAAAAGAAATGTGATGTTTGGATGTATTGTCCCTCCAAACCTCCTGTGGAAATCTGATCCCCAATGTGGCAACTGTTGGGAGCTCTTTGTGTTATGGGGGCGGATCCCTCATGAATGGATTAATGCTCTTCCTGGAAGGTTGGGTAGTGAGTGAGTTCTCGCTCTGTTCCCATGAGAGCTGGTTGTTTATAGGGCCCTGGCACCTCCCCTCTCTCTCCCTCTCTCTTGCTTCCTCTCTGCATGTGATCTGCTTCTACCCATCAGCTGCTTGCCACTTTCTGCTGTGAGTAGAAGCAGCCTGAGGCCCGCACCAGATGCAGCTGACCCAGAATCATGAGCCAAATAAACCTCTTTTCCTTATAAATTACCCAGTCTCAAGTATGCTGTTATAGTAACACAAAAACAAACTAATATAAAATTCAAACAGAAAATAAACATGAAGAAAATTCAATATCATCAGTTGCTGAAATAAAATAAAAACAAGAAATAAAAATGAAAGCAAAGTATCATTTCCCAGTCAAACTATCATAGAGTTAATGAAAGGAGCAAACACAGCACATGAGATATAGATGCAGATATAGATATGAATATAGATACACATCACATATACATACACATGCACATATTAGGTGGTTGTTGTATTTTGCGACTTAAAATATCCCCAAATACACACACACACACACACACACACACACACACACAGGAAGGAAGTATAGAAGGAGTACTAGTGGTTATGCTCTACTACACAGATGGATTAAAATAAGCAAACATTATTTTCTAGGCATAAAAAATAGTAAGTGTTAAAAAAATCTATATGTAAATGAGACATTCCCTTTAATGTAATCAAAGAAATTAAAAGAGCAATGAAGAAAGGAGCATTCTGGAGAGAAATGTAGCAGCTGCCCATAGCAGAGTGATCACAAAAACGTTTCTGTTGGCACAATCCAACACTCAGGAATGGAGGCGACAGGTGCCACAGGATGTGCTCACCCATGCAGTAAACATTCTCAAACATTACCTGCTTTAGAAGTAACAAGCTGTAGCACAAGAGGTCGTCTTGTTACGATACCCGACCCTCGAGGGAGAAAGTCCCTAAAAAAATAAAAAATAATAGATTAAGGCATTAAGAAATTCTGATCACCTATAAATTTATAAGTCCCACAGTAATTCTCCCAATTCCCAACCTTTCAATGCATCACCTATTGAAAGAATGCTAGACCCAGCTTATAAAAGAAGCATTTGCAAAGTTAAAAAAAGGTGGGGGGGGGGACTCATACTGAATATTAATTCATAATGACCTCACTGAAATAGTCCTTCATTCATCTAGCTGGAATTAATAAAAGCTTGCACTAAGCTTCTGCGTATAATCAATTCATTTTGATTTTCAGAGAATCAGCATTAATAAAAACATTTGGTGCTGAAATTAGTCCTTAAACTCTTTTTGATGATTAAAAAATATAGTACTCTCTCTGGCTTCCAGATCAATATTAGCACTATCAAATACTGATCATTACTAAAGGCATATTAGATTGTACCTTCTAAATATCTTGACATTTTCTTCAACGAAAGGATGTGTAAAATGTGAGATCAACTAGAAGTAAATAATATGTCTGTAGAAATTAACAGCCAAAAAAATTGCAACTTGAATTTTGTTTGTTCTTATTCCCAACAAACGGGGGGTTAAATAAATGAAGATCATATTTTAAATGGCATGTTGAGATACACTAGGCAAATAAAACTGCAGTGAAGAAAGTACTATATAAAATTATATTTTCAATGCCTCAAAAATCATTACTAATTCTATAACATCAAAGAATTCATAAACATACCTACAATAGTTTTTGAACATTTAGAATGCCTCACAAGTTTTAAAAGAATAATCACAGAATTCCACTCAAAAATAGACTTTTGATTCAATGGCAGTGCTTCTCAAAAAGTGGTTCCAGGACTAGCAGAAATTATCATAACTTCAGTGATCAGGACTCATCCTAAACCTACAGATTCATAAATATTCAAGGGAAGATATGCAGCACCTGTACTCTTAACGAGCTCCCAGGGGAGTCTGATGCTCAACAAAGTCTGAAACCACTGGCCTCAAGTAAGGATAAGGTACATGACAATTCAGTGGGTGATAACAGCACACTATGAGTTTTGTAGGAAATTTGGCAGAACAGGGCTTCAACACGGATGGGATTTCAATGAACAGAAGCTTATGAAATAGAAAAAGGCCGCTGAGAATGCTCCAAAACCCAAGCCTTTTTTTTTTTTTTTTTTTTTTTTTTGTTGCACTGGCACTTTGTAATGAAGAGTTACAGAAAAAGAATTAAGCAAAATTTCCCCTACTATGACTAATTTATTTTGCAAGTGCTAGTACATATTCTGATGGAAAAAAATAATACTGAACAGCCTCTACACTAAGTTAAAGACTTTTTTCCTTAAATACTAGGGAGGTTTTGGTAATTGGCCACAATAATCAACCACATTGTATATTGACAAAATAAAATAAAATTAGAAAAATAAATAAATAGATAGATAAATAAATAAATAAAATAAAAAAATACTAGGGTTAATGTCCATTTAGAATGTCTCTGTATGTGACTAAAATATAGAACAGTGAAACTACGGATTTGTATTTGCTCTAAAAAATGCCACCTGAAATAAATAATAGTATTTATTCATCAAAAAAAATTCACTGGGCCGGCCCAGTGGCGCACTGCTACAGTGCGCCGCTTGGGAGCACGGTGGCGCTCCCGCCGAGGGTTCGGATCCCACATACAGACCGGTTCCCGCTCACTGGCTGAGCGAGGGGCGGGCACAGCACCGAGGGTTGCGATCCCGTTGCCGGTCCCGGTCCGGTACGGGCGCGACACTGAGGGTTGCGGTCCGTTGCCGGACACGAAAAAAAAAAAAGGGGGAAAAAGAATTCACTGAGAAATTAAAAAGTACTAGGGAGATGCTGTAGGCATGGCCTCATGCTGGAAAAAAGAATTCACTGAGAAATTAAAAAGTACTAGGGAGATGCTGTAGGCATGGCCTCATGCTGGGTAGACACTGTGTGCACCAGAGTTTGGAATCTAATGGGAACACAGAAAACCATTAAAGAAGGGAAAAGATAAACTGCATTGGAGTTCAGAAAAAAGAGAGACCAATATTCTCCTTATGATGATGTTTTGAATATATCTAAATATATATAACAAAATACCTTTTAATATTCTTCAGGAACTGTAATAGAATATTTTTTAGTTGGGATGATTTTAATAATCATTTACAACTTAATCAAAATGAGCAGAGCATCTACTCTGTGCCTATAACGAAAATGAAGAGGTTAATTTGAGAATCAAAATGAATGAATGGAAAACAAAACAAAACTCCAGAGTAAAGAGCTGGGGAGAAACTGAGCTGTGAGGAACATGAATGAGGTTTTAGTATGTTTAGAAGCCAAAGAGAAATATACAGGTCTTAAATGCCTGAATAATATCACTGAACATATCAATAAAATATTTTCTTGGGGCAAAAAAAGAGGTGAAGAAGAAAGAAGGACAGAGGAAAGAAAGAAGGAAGAAAGGATGTTAAGTCATTTAATACCTTCATGTTGGGACCTGTTTCAATTCATGCTTGTGACCATATATTTATAATATAGACTTAGTAACAATTCCTTTGAACATTATTAAAGCAAAACAGAATATATCAAACATTTTAAATAGCAAATAGCTATCATGTGTTTAGCTAAAAAGTAAAGCCACAGACACATGGAACAATTTTCTCTACTTTTTTAATTAAGCATTTGCATTAAGAGTAATAAATAGATTTGAGTATCCAAGCCCCTTCTTATTAAGTCATACTTACTCACTCCCTTCTTGGCTCTCACCACTACAGCCTCCAACACATTTATTCTCACCAAAAGTCAAAAGGCTTGGTAACCAAAGCTTGCCATTTGGAAGTCTCTCCTGCTTCAAAGGAATCTCTAAAGTGTGACAAAGCACTACAGAGAAATTTCTCTTTTCTGAAGAGTGGCTAATCTGGCATCCTGAGGGGACATCTCTTTCTGATGATCCAGCAAAACAGACACCATATGCCCAGCACACTTCTGCTATGGGAGCTAAGGGAAAGAAGCCCTTGAATGACAGACAGAGAAGCTTGCTTTGAATACCAGCCTACCACTGAATGGGCAAAATTCTGTCTGAATCTCAGTTTCTTGTACTGTCCTACTAAACTGATATATTCCTATGGCCCAAGTTGTATTGATCAAATGAAATGCAAGATATGGCAACACTTTTAAAACCCAAACACACTAGAAAAATGTGTTCCTGTTTTATTACTATTACCATATAGCCACAGCGTGCTTTCCCACATATTGCATTACTGCATTCTCCTACTTAAAAAAAACTAAGTCCCTACCTACAATATTTTAACATTTCATGAATGGAATTTGGAGATGAGGAGCCACAGACCTCACTTAACTGTCCTCTTGGTGTTGACCAGCTGCAATGGTTTGGAAAGCTCGGCTCTTTATCCTTACCTCCATTGACAGGGAGCCAAACAAGACACTGACACAAACAGACTTGAGTAATCCATTAGCCATTGAGAGCAATCATCCACTTGAATTTTATTATTTTCTGCACAATAGGTAGTTGGATTTCTCCCATCAGAATATCTTAGGGAAAAAATTACTAAATTAATGCAGGGAAAATAATGACTTTAGTATTAATTTGGATTTAGATTATACATTTTTAAGATTTATTGTCTAATGCATATACATAAAAAGATAATACGCATACCATTTTCCTTCAGAATGGACCTTCAAGATAAAGAGTGAGAAGTGTAATCTGAAAACTAAGCATTATTACATTGACTTCATTCTATTTCCTGAATTCCTTATTTATGATTGGACTGTGCAATATTTTTAGGCAGGGAGAGTGCTTCCCTCTCAATGCCACAGAGCAGCTACAACTCAAAAGCCTTTCTTCTCTCTCAACCCAGCTTAATAAAGCATTAATCTGCACAGTCTTAGCTGGTCTGCAGGCAATAAATCAATGCTCTTTCATGATTTCCTGACTTATGGACAAAAATAAAATGAAGGTCATGCTATGGTCTGAGAACCATCTTGATAACATTTCTTATTGGCTCTTCCAGAGATTTAGTTACCAAAAACATGATCATTGCTCCACTAGGAAATGACTGATCTTTGGAAAACTGAAAAAAGGAGAGCACACTTGCCATATCAACAAAGCTAAAAGGAATTTTGCCCTTGGCAGCAAGGGAGAAATGGAGATGGCTTTCTTTTTTATTATTATTTATTTATTTATATTATTATTTTTTTACATTCTAAGATGTTGTTGCAGAGCAGTTGAGGGGGAGGGAGAAAGGGAAAAAGAGAGGGAAACAGGGTGGGAGGAGGAGGAAGGAGGAAAGGCATGGTTGAGGCACCCCCTTCATTCTGACAGAGGAGACCAGGAGGCTTCAAGCAGTGGCTTGGTTTTTGCTGAGCTGGATGCAGATGTCAGTGGGGTATGACTGAAGCCCTCAGCCCCCCCCACTGCCCCAGCTCAAGAGACCAGGGCACTTCCAGTGGTGGCTCAGTGGTTGTCACTGGGCTGGTTGCAGATGTCGGGGTTGGGGGGGGCTTGGCTAACGCCCTCAGCCTCCAACCACCCCAGCTTGGGAGCCATGTCCTTCTAGGGGGCTTCCAGTCCTTCTAGGTTTTATAGGTGTTCTTTGGTGGTATTAGACCTTTACTGGTTTGTCTCTGATCTGTGGGTATTTTATTTTTTCCTTCAGTTCTATGTCGGATTATTTGCTGTTCCCACCACTTAAACTCTGCACTGGAACTATTTGTTGTACTTTGGTTATTTCTAAAATGGGGGACTTCCTGTGGGAACCAGTACTAGAGCCCTGTGGTTGAGCTAAATTGCTGCTTTGCTGCTGAAAATCTGGGGAAGGATTTTTGTGCAGCTCAGGTTTTAACTGATGACCTTGTAAGCACTTCTGGGTCTTGCGAGGTCTGTTACAGCTGGTTTGTGTGGAAATTCTGGTCTGGGCCTGAGTCTTTTCAGCAAACTGCACCCCCTGCTGTTCTATTCTCCTGACCAGTC